TGTGCCACAGCCCAGCGACTGTAGGCCAGCCAGGTCCATGCCTTTCAGCTGTCCTCAGTGAGGTTTTTTTGCAGCTTCTGAAACACTGTCAGTCATCTAAGATAGATCTTGTCTCTTTTGAGGTACCTGCTACTTTTTAGTTTCTGTCCTCAAGCTTTTGTGGTTCCTGGTGTTTCTAGAATGTGTTCCTGTTAGTGTTTATAAAAGAGAGGAAGCTTATATCTCACTAGCTTGTACAACCATTCCCAGTACCCACAGAGCAGCGTTATTGCTCAGCATGCATTGCTCTCCCATCTTGGATTTTGAAGGACTGCACCCCTCCTTTGTGTAAGAATGGTGTCAAATTAGAAATACAGAAACATATCTGTAAAAAAATAATAATCAAGATCTTCAGACTGCCTATTGTCCTTACCCTTCTGTATGCTTGTGTGGAATGTGTGTGAATGGGCAATAGAAGCAGTCTAATCAACAAAATTTACGCTGATGTCTTTTTAGGTCTTCCTGGAAATAGTTTTGTAAGAAGCTGACATGAAGCTTTGAAGCCTTATGAAGCAAGACATGTCTGTACACCACATTTAAACCATTTTCTTTTGTCCCTTCCATATCATGTTGTGCTAAGTATAAGCTTTAAAATTTGGCATCTGTTATGCTCCTTAATGACTTCAGCAAAAAACAAATTCTTCACTACATTTTCCGTAAACACAGGTGGAGAAGACTTATAAAAGGCAAATCATTCTGTTTTTCAAATGTAATAGAAGGGAATTTTTTATAGTGGACACATGGAAAATTGCAGATAAATTATGAAGTTATGCTGCATTGCAGTGGTGTACAGCAACAGCAAAACTAGAATTAAAGTAAAAAAACCCTAGGACATTTTAAAAATGGATGTATTAAGAAAGGAAAATATAGAGCTGCCAGGGGTTATAAATATGGTTTTCCTAAATTTTGGGGTTAGATTTAAACAGATTTTTTGCAATTAGATTTTATGTAAGTTGAATAAGTAACCCCATTTCTCAAAACTGCCAGCTGTCGTTTAGATATTTACATCCTGTTTCTGGATTTTGCAGTTTTCAGCTCCTACTGAGGCCAGTAAAAAATAGAAGAACTGTGATGCCTTTTAACTGTTTTAGAGCCTATATGTACAAAAGTGACACATAGTGACAGACTGTGAGGGCTTAATCTACCTCTCAGAAATGTGTCCAGTGGGTGTCATTGCACTGAATTCGGCAGAATTGGTTGGTATGCAGTCAGTATGACTGGTAATCAGCTCCTTAAAAGATGTAGCACAAACTTTGTTCCAAGTGCTCAGATTTGTGTATGCTTTGCTAAGGTCAGATCTGAGTTAAGCCTGAAGACAACACTGAGGCAAAATTTTCCTCTTGGTACAAATCTGTTTCATATACTAAACACATTTCATGCTTGACATTTCCACTGACACAGATAAGAGACTTGCACACAGTGCAAGTATAGAATTAGCAACATAGATCCCTGCTGATGAAAGAAGAGATGAACAACAACAGCCAAAACCAAGGCTCCTGTAGCAGATGTGAAGGGTAAGATTCTAAGTCGGCCAGGAACTTTTGATCTTCTTTTCACAAAACTTAAATTTCACTGAATTTTTTCTAGCCTGTGCAGACATGCTGTTTGTTCATCTTTTATCTCTTTTAATTCTCTTTTCATTCTCTACATGGTTTTAACTCTTACTTGTAATCCTGATGTAGCTTACCCTGTTTTTCCACATGTAGTTGTTTACCTACCAATTTAAGTTAAAATGAGAATATATCAACCCATTTTCTGCTGCTAGATTAGTCATTCTGTGTCTTCACATTTGGATTAAAAGCCCATTAAAGAGTAGAGTACCATATTTTGAGTTTTAGTGCTTATTATTATTCTAGTCCTGATCCCTTCATTATTCATGTTGATGTGTCATTTGATATAATAACAATATATTTAATTGTAGCTTAAATATTATTTGATTTTTCCTGACTCAAAATTGAAGAATTCTATTAATTTTCAAGCTTATTCTTCCAAAATAATACACACACAAAGCACGTGAATAGGCATACATACTTTACATGTTTCACAAAAATGTTTTTTTTTTGGCTAAAGTAAGGATGGAACATATTTAGTTGAAAAAGAATATACACAACTCTACTTAGAAAACTAATTTGCAAGCACAGTATAAACACATTTATATGGTAAGCATATTTGTTCAGTAAATCATAAATATTCACAATTTATTAAATAAGAGAAGACTGTGAAAACTTTCATGTTCCCTCAACCATAAATCTCCTCAAGCAATTAAAAATATATTAGAACCATAATCAAATAAATGGCATGAATGTGTTTATAGGTGACTCATAGTGGCAAAAAGACATGCTGTAATGCAATTCTTCTAGCATAATACCTGTTTACAGTTCAAATCAATGTCTTCCACTGGCCAATCAATACCACCTCACTCTGTTTATCACTACTTGTAAGCCTTTTCAATAATTCTAATTTTGAAGAGTCATTGTTGAAATTGTATAGCCATTGATTGTTTAAAGGTTGCAGATAGCATGAACAAATTGAATTTTGGATTCAATTAAACCTGCTGAAAAATTGAAGATCACCTACTCTTAAGAAAGTTTTGTATCAGTCCTTCAGATGAAATCAACTAACATAGATCCACCATAACCACAGTGTGTCTGTTAATATAGATCAGTGGTGGATCAGTGTAGGGCAAGCTGCAAGCTACAGAGGGAGTTGTACCCTAACCCAGGGCTGAAGCAGTTTTCTCATTTTCCCTTGACTGAGCAGGGGCTGTAATAGACAAACCTGAATATCATTACATGTTCTCTGTTTCTGATATCAGGTATCTTACCAGTAGAACCACACACACATTGTACCCCTTTCCAGTGGGATCAGATACAAGACAGGTTGCATCTGTAAGCTCCAGACCCATAGTAACATAATCTTAGGTGAATTTAGTATGTATAGTTATTTCAAGAGAACAGCTTAGCGTCAGGTGTGAACATGCTGCAGCCTCAGTAAAATGCTCACAGTGAGATATTTTCAAAGACAACTGGCCACTTACATCAGTGTCTCAGAGACCATCTAAAGTGTTGGGTTTTTATTGAAAATCTGGCCTGTACATTAGCTGTAATAGATAGCACAAGTCAGGTTCACTATGTCACAGCAAAAAATAATCAGTTGAGAAATTGCCACTGTGTCTTCTCTAAGGCCATCTACAAGTCAGTGATCACTGGGTTTTGTTTTTTTTTTCCTGGACCAGAAAGATGAAGTTCATATGTACTGAAGAGAAAATGAAATGCTTAAAATGGCAGCTGTTCTCTAGCTGAGCAATTACTATAATTTATTGTATAACCTTAAATCTGTGAGTGCATTTGTTTCTAGGATTTTGATTCAGACTTTTTTTTCTGGCCAAATGCTAGAAATAGTGATAAAATTCATATAGTTTATTCATATCTTCTAAGATAATTAATCATAATAATTTCAAATATCTTCCTTTTTCTCCTTTGTTCCCTTATCTTTTGGGAGCTACAGATACCTTTTGTTTGTTGATTTGTATTTATTCTCACTCAACCTTCTGCATTGCAGGTAAATTTAAGTGGAAGTGTCACTTGTTTTGTTCACCAGTCCTGCTAAAGATAGAAGGCAATCAATAAAAAAAACCCTTTGTTAGCTTTCCCAAATTGAAGTAAACAGTCCAGTTTTTATGTACATGCTTACAAGCAAACCTCTGACAAATCCATCCCCTTTAGTTTTGTTGATTTTAGTTATTTTTGCAAGCCAGTAATATTTTAAAAAAGGCTTTCTTAACTTATAAACAGTAGTCCTGTTGGACAACTTGAATGCCCAAAATACAGACTCTTAAACCTTGTGAGTTTTATTGATAAGCACTTTGTCTGTTTGCAACTAAAATTCACAAAAATGGAATGACTGTGAATATTTATATGTGCAGCAGCTTTTGTTCAGTACTATCAAATGTTTTCTTAACAGTGAAATTAGAAATGGGCCAGTCTTATGTGCAAGTGGAAGCTGTGTTCTGTTGCAATTTTCTGACAATATAACTATCATCATCTATAAATTAGTAATGTTTTTTGAATGCCTTAAATAATTCTAAAGGCAGTGATAGAGTTAGGAAAACCAAGACAACTGTTCTCAGTATTCCCTTCATGGTAAAAGCTGCTGAAAAGAAAAAGAAGGGCATGAGCCATATCTGAGACTCCTTTAATGGCTGAAAGACTGAGATAAGAATGACTCTACAATTCCACTCGATCCTACTAAAGCAGCTAAATGGCTCTTACTACAGTAACTCATTCTATTTGTAAAAATTGCATTGGAGACACTAAGTAATCTCTGCTGTATCAACAGGTTAACTTGGACACAGTTATTCTGCATCTTTTCACCTTAGAGGATCTTTATTCCACCTATGAGAATGACCTCTCATACAATTAAGGATTAAAGCAAATATAGACATGCTGTGCTGCCTAAGACATTAGAAGGCTTACATTTTAGAGAATAATTTGTTAAAAATAAATCTGAAGATACCTCCTTCCTGGGAAAGCACCTCACTATTGAAAAAGCATAATACAAGGCCTTTAATAACAAGAGCAAAGTGTTTTTATAATCACAACCCTAGTAGAAATGGAACTAATAGCAAACTTCATGCCCTGAGCATCTCAAAATTTGTGCTTTAGAGTATCTGAGTTTTCTGTGGACCTCCCGTGCAAAATTCACCAGAGTTTTAGCGCCGAAATATTTTAAACTACTAAAAATCCACAAGGTCTGAAATTTAAATAAAGCTAAGATAATGTGCCATCCACATAATAAATAGCCTGTACAAATCTTCATGTTTAGCTCAGTATGTTCATCAATGTTCTTTGAATTTCTACCAAGTGTCATGTATGGGAACTCAGTGAACTTGGGTGTAGTAGGAACAGCAGCTTTAGTGAGGAAAAACATAAAAAATTAAAGCACTATGATGGCTTTAAATGTCCATGTATCAATTCCGCTTAAGTTTAATTAAAAATATGTATTTTTTTCTGTTGAGAGTAAAAGTTTTCAAGTGCATAACATTTCCTAGAACAAACACAACTGCCACCTTTCACTATATTCAGCAACTCTGAAATGTATTTTAGCCCTGTTCCTTGGCAATACTTTCTAGTATGTCAACTCAAGAAACCTGATTTAAGCTGAGTAATACTTGGTTTCATGTCATTCTCTGTCCACTTGAAGGCTTCTGTGGAAGCACATCTCTAGCTGCTTGCAGTGGGGGAACAGGGTCTCACAACTTTACGGGTGTATTCAGTCACTAAAAAAAAAAAGGGAAAAATAGAAGGAAACATTAATTTTGAAATTCCTATAAAATTAGTTCAGAGCCCTGAATACTTTTCCTAATTATTGACCTAAATCAATATTGATGGCAATTGTATTTCTGAAGGAGCACCTCTTTCTACCTGCTTGGTATGAAATTTTTCACATAGATCAGAATCTCATCAGTTTATTATTTTACTCAACTTTTATATATGCATTCAAGTATTTTATTACAGTCTTCTAACAAAACAAAGTCATTTGTTGCTAAATAAAATCTCATTTCACTCTGTAACCTTTCTATGAAACAAATGTCTAAGTTCATTAAACTCCGCTTGTCAGACATATTGAGAAGTAACAACATCTAATCATCAGTATTTTCATACAAAATGTATCTCTGTATACAAAGCTTAAGACCTTATTTTGTTTAAAATTTATGCTAAAAATGAATAGGGTATTACTTAGTACACACGAGTTCTAGATCTATGAGTAGAATTTATGATTATAAGATCTTCTGTCAAGTTCCAAAGTGCAAATTTAGATGCCATCCCAAGTGAGAAATACTTATACAAACATACAGTCCACCAAGTAAAATGTCTCAAACTGAATTTGAGGATAGGGAGACATTTACTCTATCCATTTTGCATTTCTCTTAGAAGAGAAAATGCAATGGAAGAAATTAGAATAACTTATAAAGCATTGTTTTGCACAAGGGGCTGAGATTTCCCATTAACTGCAAAAAAGGTACATAAAAATGTTTAAAGACTTAGCACAACTAAATTTATTCTTTTCTTGTTGTTGTTTTGGTTTTTTGGGGTTTTTTGTTTTTGTGTTTTGAATTAATCCAGTCAATACATCATTGGCCAGGGAAGGGAAGATAATTTAAGTGATAAGCAAAGAAAAGTAAAACCACAGACACAAAATTTGCTGTTATTAATGATATTTTTCCAAAAGCTGCTATATATTTCCAAAATAAATACCTGTGTAAATCCAGGTATATTAAGTATTTGAATGAATTTTCAATAAAACCACTTCCAACAGAAAAAAAAAAAAAAAATTACAGGAATCTTAGCATCATTAGGATAACACCTTTGCAAATACCAACTGAAATGGAGCTGAATATTTTCTGAGTTGTTGCCAGCCGTCTGCAGGTACTTGTCCACTAGGAGACACCATTGCTCCATTGAGCTGAAAGATGAGGACGTGGCAGTAAATTATCGGAGGTAACGCATGTTAACAGCGGCTCTTATCTTCCAGGTCATTCTCCACTGTTCATAAAATTTATATTGAGATGAAGTTTGCTTTTATTTTCCAGGCATTCAGAAAATGCATGAGTTAGCACTTTTCACAGTCCAAACTTGCAAAAAAAACAAATAAAAAAAAAAAAGAAAAAAAGGAAAAAAGGAAGAAAAATTTGAGTCAGGAATACTTGGTGATAGAGGGAAATTGTTTGGTAATATTTGGAGAAACAATAAAAACTTGAGAAGAAATAATTGAAATTTAAAATACATTAACATTTTAATATCTTATTTCAAGGCACAAACCTTCAAGATGAAACTGAAGAGACTATTACAACTTAAGGATGATGAGATTTTTCTTCTTTGTGCAATGATGTTCTCACTCATGAATTTATAAATTTAAGGAGTTAAGTTCAAAATTTTCTCTTCCATTAGAAAGATTATGTATATATGTACATAAAATACATGTATGTATGCTGGAGGTAAACATTCATACCCTATATAAAACATCAAAATATCTATTAAGAGTTCATTTGCACTAAGAAAAGCTTCTAGAAGGACATAAAAAAGTAAAGGATCTTCTCACATCATCAGCTAACCAAAGACAAGAGTTGTTTATTTGTAATTTTGGGACATAACTGTATTTTGTAATTCAAAATTTCAAAATAATATGTGTAAAAATACACAATTTTCTATTTTTTTATTTTTTTTTTTATAATTGCTACATATAAGCTTTCTCCTGATTTAATTCATTATGGTTTTTCAGGGTTACTTTTGGTTACATTTTGTTGTCTTTTTAAGATGGGTTCAAAAGTCGTATTATCAAATCTTACGCATTTAATTATTGACGATCTAGGTAGTGATTTTAATCTCAAAACTTCAAATAAAAAAAGTAATCAATAGTTTTGAGATCCATAAAACAAATAGGCTCTTATTTCAAACTAAAATTTTATTTAAAATGTTAAAAATTCTGCTCTCCATTACATGCAGGAAAATCCAATAACTGTGAAAAAAGCAAGCTTGAACATATCTACTTTGTCACTGAGATCAAAAACTCTAGGTCATACCATTAGCTGGTGTAAATCACTGCAGTTTGACAGAATTTCACAGTTAGGCTTCTTTTTAATAGATAAATATCTATATATTTTGATGTTGCTAAGTAGACCCTGTTTATTAAAAATATATTGTCTTTGATACTGCTTAAGGCAGTTCTAAAATAAAGAAATTCTTAGTGGAATTTTCAGCATTACAAAAGAAAAGTATGATATTGTTCTTAACACTTGAAATATCTTGAAATATTAGTGTGGCCGCTACCAAGAAAAAAAGCTACTAATACTTATTCTTTTTAGTAGAACTGAGTATACAGAAGTAAAATAAGTAATTCTTTGAAATAGTTATGATCAAATTTTGACAAAATATTCAGTCATCTCTGGGGATTTATTTACAACAACTATAATGCTATTAGAAAGGACTCTGTTTTCTAGAATACTGAATTAAAAAGTCCCAAGAGGAAGAAGTTGACTACCTAGAAAATTGACCTCACATAAAAACAATCTATTTTATCCAACAGCTCTTCAAGATTTGCTTTCCCATCATCTGTGAGAACCTACAAATTTAGGATAAAAGATTTGAAATGTTAACAGAAATTAATAAAATACAGGAAATTACTCTAGACAATTTCAAAAGATAAATGTGTGAATTACTAGAAGCTGGAGTAACTTACCATGACTGTAAGTGACAGTCCACCATTTAAAATGTTTGAACCAGTGTTAAGGGTCTGCTGAATGGCACCTAGTCTCAAGCAGGAATTACAGGTCTGATGCAGAAATTGGTTAAGGAAATTCCATAGCCTACTGGGTGAAATGGTCACTACAAACCTCTCTTAGGTTTCAGAATTCTGTGAAAAAAAAATAGAATTAACACAAGGATAGAACAAAACAGAGACAAAAAGATTTATGATTTATCAACTTTTTGCTGTTTTACCATGCACTTGAAATGATTCTGGAATGGAACCATTTCCTAACAATCTACAGTTGCCATTTATAATTATTTTTCATCTAAGTCATGTAGTGAAAAAGTCAAATTCTTTGTGATTCAGTTCACCTAATCTTTTTTAGAAGTGTGTTTTCTGATAAAAGGCCATTCTGAAGTGATAGTGTTTCATTCAGAATCTTGGTCTTAAATAAAATTGATCACATAATAAATAAGATAAATAGTGGTAATAAAAGTGCATGACTTTAAGGTTTGGAAGCTGAAGTGCTGATCCCTATTTATCTTTGCTAGCGACTACACACTATTCTTTTAGGTACTTTGTGATAGGCAAATTAAGCCATTTTAGAGGACAGAATAACCTTCTGCAGTCTTTGGCCAGGACACAGATATTGAACAAACAATTACCATTGGGTCTAGAGCACATCCGTCAAATATTGTACCCAGTTTAATGGTACTTGAATATGGTCTTTGTTGTGCAGCCATCAAAGTTCTAAGGCCAGCAAAGTAAGTTAGGTGCTATTGTAACTTCTCAGAATGCTGTTAAAACAATTAAAGACCACCCCTGTACTGCTGTGCCTGCTTGCTTTTTTGGCAGCTGCCTTGACTGTGCTTGGATATGCAGGACAACTACTCTGACTCCTCCATTTGTAAATGTTTGGATCCGAAAGGTCTGAGCTCCTGAATGAGTGAAGAGAGTCTCTGCAATTTCTCACATTTGCCCCAGCTCTTCTCTAGCTTTTCTTCTATGTTCCTTAGCTCCCACTACTAGATGATGTTCAAAACACTGACTTGCCTTTTGACAAAAGGCTTTAAGTACATGAATTCGCTTTATGTGCTACTGACATGTCTCAAACAAAAGCACAACTTGTCTTCGACTCCTCACCCACATGAATCAAAGAAATGGATTATCCTTTCCTTTTTGCCTGCTTGTACTCTCTTTTTACTCTTCTATATATTGATACATATAATAAAATGCAAATATAATTATTTTGCTGAAAGGAGAATTTTTATAAAAGCAAATTGCATTTTTTTTCCTAAATGAACCTGCATAACTTTGTTTATCACTTCCCAAAGGGAAGTACCATGGAGGAAGTAGACGCCATGGAGGAAGTGAAATGAGGGGATACAAAAACAATGTAATGAGCCATGTGAAAAAGAGGTCAGAGAATGTCTTACCCAAAGACAGTTAAAGTTCCAAGATGGGGCATGTTACAAAAATGAAGAGAGGTTGTTAAGTAAAACAACCTAGAGAAATTAGTCTGGGAATGTATTTTAACTGATACATTAACTCCTAAGTAATTTATTTGCAAAGTTGACTATAAATCTTGACAGGATTTCTAATGTAATTTGATACTAATAAAGTCCTCAAGAATATTCAATGTTCAAAAAATTGCTGGATTCTTTGCTCTTAGGATAAAATGAAGTTCCAGATATTTGAGAATAGATTCATAAGTACATGGAAAGAGAGAGAGCTAGTCTTTTTAGTCCTATTACATTTCCTTAGATCTCAATTTTTTGGCAGTAAGCATTCTAAATTTTTTCATCTATCAATACATATTAGAGATAATTTTTTGTGATGATCAAATTTACCTACTCTCATCAATAAGTTTTAGAAAGCTGTCATTTTGTGAAAAATTATTAATCATTCCTCAAAACCCAAACTATTCCCACTTTAAATACAGTTAGTGTCTGAGAGATTTATCCACCCCTACCTCCCCTTTCTTTACTTGCCTACAGGATAGTATGCCTCCCACACACAAAAGTGATCCCAAAAAACCTCAGTTATCTAAGAAACCTAATATCATATCTATACCTTTGTGTGCTACCCTTTTGCTATAAGGACAAGGCCTTCAGTGTTCACTAGATACATTTTCTTATTAAACAGGTGATGGCAGAAGCAGTAGATTGTGTTATTCTGAACAGAGTATATCTACAAACTTCTGTGTATTAATTCCCTCTTTTCTTTCATTTGGGTTGCTCAATACTGTTGGAAGTGACTGTCAGAGACTGTGTGCACTTTTCCCTGCTTCCTTAATATTTGCAGCAAAAGCACATCACCATGCTTGGTTAAATTTGCCATCTGTAATTCCAGAACCTCAGGTATATCTCAGCCAGCTAGCTGCAATTCAAAATAATGATTTAATATGTCATAATTTTCAGCATTCAAGCATTCGTTTTCACTTGGAAATGCAGAGGGTGAGATTCATAATGGCACTGAAATTTCCTGCTAAATTTTCCATCTGGCGATCCTCTCTCACTACCACTACAAAATTCCGTATTTCCATCCATTTGCAGCTGTGGCTCCTTCCCTCATGGGATCAAAGTTGCACCTGGCTAAGCAGCCTTTTAGAAAATGCTACAAATAGTGCAATATGTCATTTTAAATGGTGACGACTCCTTTTGGATTTGGAGTTAACAGCAGGCAGCCGATAACTTGCTGGCACACCCTACACAAGACACCAAATCAGAGTATTTCCATTCAGTTTAAGTAGATTTATTGATTTGCTAAAGGCCACAGAACAGATCCATTTTGAAGGGGAGAAATCATCTTTAGTGGCATCTATAGGCCAATAATGCAACTTAAAGCATCTGTTCTTAAGCTGCATTAAAGCCAGGACAAGCCCTCCTAATTAGGAAGCTCCTTCTCTGCCTAATGCCTGTGCAGTGCAGATATGCACTTCAGGAATGAAAAGAGCTGCTGTTCTTCATGCTTCATGTTTTGAGGGATGGCTGAATCAACAGCTCAACAATTACTGGAAGCATTTGAATACATCTTGCTTCTTGGTTTATGATGAATGTGTTTTTGTAACACATTATATAAAAATCAGCTGTGGAGGCTGCTGGACAGAGCAGTAGGCACAGCCCCAGGAGATCAAAATTCTAGTTCCTGCCAATGGCTTTGCTGGGAAACCCTGGAGAAGTCATTCCTCGCCCCTAGCAGAATTCTTCCTTCTTTAAAGCTTAGTTATACTAAAAATACACCATTAAAAATCTTTCCTTCATTCAGTCCACATTTTATCTAAATCCATTAGCCTCAGATTCCCAACACTGAAGAGTGCTGAAAATGACAAAACAAAATTAAGTCACAGTTGAAGATAAAACTGAAAAAAGGAAGCTGTAACTCTCTTTACTGTTACTGAGGGTTGTTGCATATCACCTTTGGGACTATTTCGACTATTCGTGCCAGACAGAGAGATATTTATTTTGTTGTGAATTTTTTTTTCTTAACACTTTATATCTGGAGTCTCAGAAGAAGAAATTGCTGGAGACAATTTTATCTCTGGGAAAACCTCACAAGGACTCTAGCTGCTTCCAAGCAATATGTTGGCAATTAATTAGTGAATGCAATACATCCAGATTTCCCAGGTCACTGTTACAGGTAAAAGCTGTTGCAACCTGCTGCCATACTGCAACACACCAATGACTAAACCAAGAAAAGAATGGGACTGCTAAAGAGTACATATTATTTCAAGTGGTAGTACTTGAATGTAACTTAGGTGATAATGTGTCTGATTGGAGGCTTTTTTCTCAATTTTAGCTCTCTTTTTTTATATTTTTTTCCCTTGAAGACCTGCTACAAGTGCTAAAAGCTGTCATGCTGCTTGATTTTCACCTTCCCTGAAAATGTTTCAGTGTTTCCACAAAGTCAAATGGATCCAACACACGAGATTTTATCTCCTTACAAGACATGGAAGATATCTTAAAATTTGGCTTAGATTGATCTATGCTAAAATTATCAAGGTTATTAATACCTTTTAATTTTAATTAAGAACCTGTCACAAGTTTGAGTTTGTGTTAAGAGAAATATTTACTAAATGTATCTATACCTGAGACAAGGGGAAAAAAAAAACAGATGCCTTTTGAGTTCAGAACATCCATTGGAAAAAACTGCACAAAACAAAAACTGCTTATAAATTACTATTTTATATAAAATGAAGGAAGAATAGATAGCAAGTTACCCCTGTATAGCCAGATCAGATTTACTTAAGCAGTCACAAAATACATAATAGAACTGTAGGAGCCTGTAAGGCCCCAAAAAACTCGTTCAACAAGACTTAGAAGCTAACATTTCCCAAAGCTTTAAATTGGCCTATTCAACTTCACAAAATCTAAGCCAGTCTGATTTTAATTTACACAAAAAACTCTGAGAAGAGGGAATTAGAAGAAAGAGAGACAGACAGAAAAGATACAGAAAAGAGCAAATATAGCTACCACTCCTGCTGTAGAAGTGTTCCAGCTGACAGAGATCCCAAAGGGAGGGAGGGACAAGACAAGTGCTTAAGTCATGTTTGTCCTTAAATGCCTCTTGTCTTTCCTGAGTTACTTCCCCCATGTGGGAATTCAGTCATTTAGCTACTCAAGGGCTGGGTTGGGGGCTCCAGAGGCAGGTGTAGAGCATTGCCTCCCATGTGTCAGGGATTGGCAGCTGCCACACAGTTGAGATACAGGCTTTAGTGGTGGGAGGTGTGGAGCAGGGCAGTGACCCACCAGGGCAGGGCCTCACCTGGTTCTCCCCTTCCCTCAAACTCTCACCCCAAAATGTCTCAAGATAGTCTTCCCAGACTCTTACACAGCCACAGCCCGAATTTTTCCATAGCTTATATGCCACATTTAAGGTAATTATTTCTGTTTCAGTTGCATTCATATTTTTGTTATAATAGATTTGCATTCCTGAGATCTAAATATAAAGTTAAGTGATAAAGATTCAAATGCTTTAAAACTGGGGGATGTATCTAGTAAATGTGAGCCATCCCACAGACAACTGTAATTTCAGAGGGCTAGAGATCTGTGGGTTTTTTTTGAAAACAGGTTTTACCACAGCATGATCAGTGTTAACTTGTGACAACAGTGTTTAATGAAACTGATGTGGTAATAATATACACATTCATAGAGTAGGTATCACATGTGCTTGTCCTTTCCTTACTCTTTCTTGGATGTCCATGTAAATCCATCGATGGAAGAAATTTCTAGGCTAGGCTGACCCTTTGGCAGAACAGGTAGGACTAGTTGTAATTTATTACAATTTTAGCACACACAAAGGTTTTATTAGGGTATGTTTTTTCATACATAGCAGCTTAGAAGAGTTCTTTCTCTTCTTTCTTAGAAGAGTTGATTCATTTCCAGAAACATTTGAACAGCTGAAAGAAATAAGAAAGAGAAAATATTATGTACATTTTCCATATCAGTTTATAATCAGGAAAGAAGTGAAAATTTCATTTCAGGTATGAATATTTTTCACAGATTTTTAACAAATTGATTATAGTATGAATGACCCAAAAATGTATTAATATTTTTTTTTTCTTTTCCACCTCTGGAAAAGGGAAAAAAAACCCACTCTTTTCACTCAGACTACTTGGAAAGACTGTGAGAGACTTGTTAGCACATGCTGGGATTTGTGCACTTATGCTCTGAAAGGAGAGAAAAATCAATTAGCAGGAGAATGTGTAAGTTTTCTGCCACTTTCACGTATAAAAGTTTTAAAAGAATATAACCTTTGACATTGAAGTATACTGCGAAGGCCGTACTTGTGGATTCTGTAAGATATGACTGGAAGGACAGAAAGCTCTGCTGAATGATTTACTGGCTGTCTGCCATACTCTGAATTGCTGCCTGTCAATGCCACATGTGGCACCTTTCAGATAGCATATTCTTTCAAGCAAGTCTGTAAAGGTGGCAGATATCAAGAGTGTAAAAGCTTGCTTTTGTTAATGCTCAAGGGTATTTACATTGACAACTAGAAAAAGAGAATACTCTTAGTCATTGCTCCTGTACGTAGCAACACAAAATGATCACATTCACTTCATTCACTCATAACCAGCTGTGATTTTGTGTATTTTGAATCTAGGAAATCCATATATTCATGTCCCTCAGTATTTGAAATAATATTAGTTTCCTACAATGCAAACTGAATTATGGCGTTGCAAGAGTCTCTTCTCAGGAAAGAGGTTTTCATCCTAAGTCTTGATTTCTATCTGTGTTAAAGGTTGTGTTTTCAATCCCTCCCACCATAGACCAACAAGGTATAAAATTAATTTATGGTCTTGGAAGGAAGGGAAACAGCAGTAGTTCAAAAGAATCAGATGCTGTCTGAAACACAATAATGTGCCTACAACTTCTCTCACCATGTTATTCCCTACTGAAGGATCATCGCCATTGCACTATTTTTAAACAGCATTTTACAACACATATAGTCAACCTAAAAGATTAATTAGAACTTAAATGTTCTCTTTATTCTAAAGAGAAATACCTTTTTACTAAACATAATAGAAGCCTGTATCTCCATTACAGGCCCTTTATATTACCAAGTTTTAAATTAGAAACTTGACTCACGCAGGAAAAGTCATTGTACTGCAAGCAATCTCTGTGTTTTACTAGTCCGTCATCTTAGACACTTGTTGAAATTTATGAATATTTATGTAAAAGGGGATGGGGGGGGAGCAGAAGCAAGAACTTTAAATAGGAAGCAAAGTAAATAAAATAAAATCACTTATAGAAGAAAGTCAGAGTCACAACTAAATAAAAATTAAAAAGAGGAAGACAAAACTTTCTTCTTAAACCTTTTAAAAGAGCCACACAGTGCACATTAGCCAGTGCAACTAACTGGGGTTACCATGCTTCAGCTGTCCTTTCCTGTCTTTTCCCTATTCATAGCAATGCTACACATTAGCCCTTCACCCAGGCATCTGCAGAGGCCTCTGCAAGAGTGAGAGGTTAGATTCCTGAGTCTTCCAGGGCTGAAACTCTCCTGGCACGGTGTGTGACCGTGCACATCACTCCTGACTGAGGCCACTGCATCCACCATAACGTATTGAAAAGAAAAGCTTGAAAGAAAATGCTTAGTGCAATAAAGGAAATGAGAACACACACTGTTATTAAAGTGCATATAAACCTCTTTTCAGCTAATCCTGTGAAAGCAGCTAGCAGTGATATATGTCATGTGGCAATAGTTTCTGAATTGTTTTCTGTGAGCAGCGATACCAGAAGTGTATGTATTTGCAAAATTAGTTCAGACTGCTTTCCTTTTTATCTGTTGCTGACTAGGTAGTTTGGGTATTCTTTTGATTGTTCAATATTTAAATAATATTTTTTATTTATCTATTTTCATGACACTAACACACCTGTAACTCCCCAGGAACCAAGAGGATTGGAAAAACAAGGTTGGCTGCCTGCAGGCTTGTTGGTTATTTTGTTGGAGAGCACAGTATCATCTTCTTGGCAGCACATGTTCTGAAATTCATTCATTTCCACTATCAGTGCTTGAACCTTGTCTGAAGGGTGGTTTAGGTGATACAAGTGAAAACAATCACTAACATTGTAAAAGAATAATAATAAAAAGATGCTGATGGATTAAGAAGGACAAAGATGGAAATGTATGTTAATTTAGGCGATCACTGGAATTATGTAGCCATCCATACCTGATAAAGTGTCAAAGAAAAAATAAATAATATGTCAGTGTCTGCAAAAAGAGAAGGAAGACATAAGCTTAGACTTTCTAATTTTCTGGGCTGTCCCAGACTAGCTTCTACATGTGTGCCACTGTCATTAATCTAGGGACAAGTTAAAGAGTGTCATAAAGGTGAATTTCAGTCCTGAGAGAATATATACATTGTGCTGGCATGAGAACAAGTGGCATTGATCCAGGAACTGGCTGTGGAAGTCACTGGCCACCAGCACAACTACACAGATTTCTTTAGTAGCACAAGTCCAGCTCTTTGATTCTACTCGGTCCCTTAAGATGATTTTATATTAGCTACAAAATCATGTTTTTATCTATTCTCTAGAAATTTACATTACAGCTAAAGGTCAGTGGTATTTTGTCTACACAGTTTGTCATAAAGTTGTTTTGATACTAAACCATTAGAAGACAGTCCTGGGAATTGCAGAGACAGGAACAGTAAAAATGTAACTGACACATACGGAATTCCACATATGGAATGTGTGCAATAGTCTGCACATATTAAAGCTAACTCTGTTATTTGCTTTGCTTCAATATTAGATTGGTGTGCATTTCCTTAGCTCTTGAGATGGACAAAACTCATCAGGTAATATCATTTAATAAGAAACTGTAGTTGTACTCATATAAAAAAATCTGGTTCATAAACCCCCGAGACAACACTTTCTATTCTGTTCTTGGTAAAAGTCAAATGTATAGATATACATGGGAGTTAGCTGAAATAAAAATGAAATAAATAATTATCTGGGAAATTAGTGAAGGTCATTGACTATATGAAATACATTTCTGAAAATAAGCAGATTTTTACAGTTGTTTATTTAAACAGTACATTAATAACTAAGCAATTAATAGAAACTATTTTCCATTATTATTATTATTATTATTATTATTATTATTATTATTATTATTATTATTTATTATTATTATTATTATTATTATTATTATTATTATTATTATTATTATTATTATTGTTATTATTGTTATTATTATTATTATGGGGAGCAATATTCAGAAAGAGCTTTGTTTAACAACATTCTGTTTGAATAGCTTGCTAATTTACCACTGGCCCAAATTATATCGTCTGTGGATGAGACACCACATGGTCTATCAGGAGGGAGACCATGCTACATAGTGCTTCCTGTCCAGTTTCCAGAGTCTGACTGTATATAAATTTGAAGTATTTCAAATATATAATTTCTGAGCCTTTCTGTAAAAAATGTGCAATATCTTTCCTGAATCTGTTTTTTTTTTCTGGGTTTTTTTACGCACTGTACAGAGAGTACAGTGTGTAAAAAGCAACACAAAAAAAGCAATGCAAAAAAAGAAAAAATACTGTCAGACAGGCATTATGTATAGTTATTGTAAAGAGATTGGGAAAGTAAGTTCAATATCAGCTTTTGAAAACAAAACAATCCAACTTTTAAAAGTAGCCACCAAATTTAATAATTAAAATGAAAAAAAAAAAGTAATAACCATAATCTCATTTCTTCTTATTATTTATTTAAGATATTTTGTTATATTCAGAATTTGAAATGTCTGGCTGTATTTATAATTGGTTCTATTTTGCTATGCAGTTCTTCAAATACCAGTTAACTTCATGTTTTTATGCACTGCCAAAAAGAGCAACTATATTTGGCTCTTAATATAATTTTCTTGGGAAGTAATGTTTCTTGAGTGTTCCTCATTCAAGAAACTGTCCACGTAACTTACAGCTGTGGCTTCACAGATCAAATTCACTGATTGCTCTTTAAAAAGCAGTCTTATCCTATTAAGCCATCCTAAAGTTAGCTACAACAGCCTATTTCAATGCATTAAAAAACTATCAAGGTTTTCAGAACTGTTACACACTTGTATCT